GCATTGACTCATAGCGACCCTGTAAACAAAAGACCTGAAGCCTTTCTGTCACTGTGGTCATTTCTCCACGTTCATAGACTTTCCAGAGGCATGTGGTTTAGGAAATGGATGCCACTCCTGCTTCCCAAACCTGTCTTAAAGTGGGAGCTCTGCCACACCCTGTCCACCTTGGGCAACCTTTATAGCATTTCACACTCCAGTGGCACAAGTTTCAGCATCACAGCAATCCCAGAAAACCTCAGTACAGCAAATTGACAGGAGAATGCCATACAACTTAGAAGACTGTTCCTCCAAAAAATAATAACATGAGGCCCGAGGGGCCTCCAGGAGGTCTTGTTGACACTAAACAAAAGGCTTAAATAAAAAAAGGAAAAAAATTTAAAAAAAACCAAACCCCCCAACCTTTCCCCTTGCCCTTCACCCAACCGGGGGCCCCCCCATCTTACAGAGTCCTGCTGCCTTCTTAATGTCACTTTTATCTCTAGACTATGTATCTAGTAGTAAGATTATGGGATCAAAAGCATTGCTATTTCTACGTCATTTCCTCTGCATTTCCATTATTTACAGCCCTATCAGTAAGGGATAAGAACTCCAGTCTCTCCACAACCTTGCCATCATTTATTGTTTATTTTTATCTGTGCCATTTTTGAAAGGGATGAAATGCTGCATAAAGTATAGGCCAACAAAACAGAAGTTGACTCTCAATAAGGTAAATTGATACAGATTGCCAAACACCCCACCCCACCCCACCCCCCGCAAAAAACAAACAAACAAAAGTCAACCTAGCAGATATTGTGAGGATGGTGCAGTTTAGGTAGAGTTGTTCTGTTGTTCAGATTGTCTATGTACAGATTGTCTGCTAGACAGGACGTAGCAAGAGTAATGGTGAACGACCAAGAACATCTTGCTGTATGATTGTTAGCCACACTGTGGTCCTCTCTGTTGAAGTACCTCTGCATGTCCTTTGCCCATTGTTCATTGGATGGCTTCTTTTTCTTTTGAGCTGACATTGTCTATTTCTTTCAGAAATCGGACCCATGGTCCACAGGTTGTCTTTTCACTCTTGATAAAGACTTTCTATAAGTGTATGAGTCGCAAGCGACTTGACGGCACATAACAACAACAATAAGCGTATGTAGTTGATGTTTAGGAGGTTACCATTTCAAGTTTATCTTCTGTTATTTGTTCCCTTTCAGTTGTTTTTGATAGACTATTTGTGCTAAAAATGAGGTGTCCTATTTCTAACAGTGTTTAGCCATTTTTAACAGTTTCAGAACACTTTATGATATATTTGGTAGTGACATGTCAGATAAGGGACTTACATATAGAGTAACGTGGGCAAAATATTGTGTGTCCATCTTTGTAGATATTAAGGCATGGCTGTCCTCGTTCTCTTATGTTTTATCTGTGCATCATTTTGCACTACAAGAACAGAGTTCACTTGTTACAACAGAGAACCCAGGGTTTTTAAGTTTCACCATCATCGTCTCTGTGGTTGTATTTTCTGTAAGATAAATCTGTCCATTCTTTTTGCAGCCCAGGTATTTTCAATATTGCCAACACTAAAATTCAACACCATCAATAATTCTTCCATTTTCTTTATCTGCTACTCAACTTTCTCACATGCATATGAAGCATTTGAAAACGGCATGGCTTTTTTTAACAAATGATGTTGGCAAAATTGGAAAACTATCTGCAGAAATCTCAAGCAAGATCCACACCTCACTCCATACACAAAAACCAACTCAAGGTGGATCATGGACCTAGGACTAAAACCAAGGACTATAAACTTGATTAAAGAAAAGCTTGGAAGAACTCTAGACATCTTAATCCACAACATCAACAGTCTGCGAAGCATCCTGAAAAATCTGCAGCCAGGAAAGGATAAAATAGATGCTTGGGACCTTCTAAGAGTCAAATCCCTATTCACATCCAAAAACTTTTTCAACAGGGTAAAAAGGGAAGCCATTTAAAAAACACTCAGTCACCACACGATAAAGATAAACAACCCAATAGAAAAATGAGCACAGGATATGAACAGACATTTCACCAAAGAAGACATTCAGATGGTCAACATAACAGACACATGAAGAAATGTTCAAAATCCTTAGCTCTGAGATGCAAATCAAAACAACTATGAGATATAATCTCACCTCAGTAAGAATAGCAAAATTTAACAGAACAGCAAACAACAAATGCTGGTGAGGTTGTGGAGAAACTGGAACCCTTATTCACTGTTGGTTCGAGTGTAAAATGGTGCTGCCACTATGGAAGACAGTATGACGCTTTCTCAAAAAGTTGCATATAGAAATACCATTTGATCCAGCAATTCCACTACTTGGATTATACACCAAAGAAACCATAACTGCCACCCAAGCAGATATATGCACACTCATGTTTATTGCGGCTTGGTTCACAATAGCAAAGAATTGGAAACAACCTAAGTGCCCATCAACAAACGAATGGATAGAGCAGCTCTGGTATATTCACACAACGGAATACTATACTGCATTGAAAAACAAGGACCTCATGCAATATTATTCAAAATGGGTGACCCTGGAGGACATTATGCTGGGTGAAATATCTCAGTCACAAAAGGACAAATATTGCATAGTGCCACTGTTGTAAAACAGGAATGACATAAGGGTTGGGAGGGAGACCGAGAAAGATGGGATAAATTATGTAAACTGCATTCAAACAGATGAGGGGATATATGATTAGGTATTATTGTCATGACTCCAGAACAAAGGCTGCACAGTGGAGCGGACTTGAGGGGAGGGATTGCATAATAATGAAAGAATTTTTCTTCTACTTTTCAAAGAGAAGAACGAACTAGAGGGGAGGGGTGGAAAAAGTAAAACAATGAATGAATGGAAATCCAAAGTATCTGTACATTTCCATTAATAATAATAATAATAATTAAAAACAACTTCTTTTTTAAATGTCATGGCTTGGATCATGTGTACCTTAGTTCTTAAACTGACATACTTGTTCATTAACACTTTAAAGGTGTCCTAGACAGCAGATTTCTCCAATGTAACATTTTCCCCCCTCCTTTTTTTATTATTAATTTTAATGAAAGTCTACAGAGACTTTGGATGTCCACTCATTCATTGTTGCACTTTTCTCCCTGTCCACCGTCTCCCTCCCCCCATTCGCTCTTCTCTTTGAAAAGTAAAAGAAAAATTATTTCATTGTTATACAGTCCCTCCCCCCAAGTCCACTCCACTGTGCAGCCTTTGTTCTGGACTCCTGTTATGACAGCCAGAGAATTTTGCCTAAGCCACGTTAACACATATTTTGGGAGACAGAGAGCAAGATACAATTCAGTCCATGAAGTTTCATTCCCTGAGTAGTCAAAACAGATATGGGGGCTTCCTCCACATCTTCTTTCAAAAGTGGAAGGTCCATCCCTATCACATCTTTGAGATGTGTCTTTTCTACTAAATCTAGCTTTACTTATTCACCCAACCTTGGCCAAGAACTATACAACTGATTGATATCAGGTACAAAAAGCCAAACTCAATGCTTTAAAGTGGAGCAACCCTGTGATACCAGTCATGCTCAGAACTTCCTGTGGGACCAGGCGGAGATAGCGTCCAGCCGAGACCACATCCTAGTTTGGCTCCTTCATGCCCTCCTCTCTCATTGTCCATGTCTTTACAAAGTGCCTCTTCAATAAATCACTTGCAACTCTCTGGGACCATCTCCAGGGAATCCAGCATAAGGCATAATCCACCACCAATGGAAGCAGATTAGCCGACAGAAACTCACAGCACACTAACTACTCTCTTCAAAAACCTCTTCTAATCTCCCTCTGCCCATATCTACCCTCACCTGCCCTCATGAGTGGCAAGGCTCCCCACATATTTACCACCTTCTAAGTCCAGCACAGGTGGTCTTATTTTGGTAAATGAGAAATGGTTTCTGCTGTTGACTTGGAATCAGGACTGCAATAGCTCCCTTTGACGTCCTGATATTACATGGGGCACATATCAAATTCCAAGTACATGGTAGACACGTCTCAATGGTACCTGTTATTTAGGTTGTTAAAATAATGTTGAGGAGTCATCACATACCCTATATTAAGCTCTGTGATAAATAATCACTGACTTTAGGGGCACAGTGTTATTAATCTCATATTTCTGATCCCCTTCATAAAGCTGTGTCTCAGAAGGTAAGCCTACTTCCAAACCCAGGTCTGCCTAATGCTTTAGCAAGCTTATTTCTTGTTGTTGCTGGTAGGTGCTGTCAAGTTGAGTACAACTGATAGTGACCCTATGAACAACCAACCTGGACGATCGTCATCATCTAATACACTAGAGCCCGTAGCTGAAGTCGCTGTATCAGTCTATCTCATTGGGCCCTTCACTGGCCCTCCTTCTTTCCAGTCATGGTGTCCCTTTCCTAGGAAAAGCCTTGCCTAGCTACATGTCCAGAGTAGGAAGGACAAAGCTTTGCCATCTTTGCTTCCAAGGATCACACTGGCTGCACTTTCTTCCATACGTATCTGTTTGTTCTTTTGGCTGTCACGAGACATTCAGTACTCTTCTCCAACACCACAACTCAAAGGCATCAAGTCTTTTTCTGAAACCTTTATTCATTGCCCAGGTCTCTGATGCACAGCAAGTGATTGAGAAGACCATGGCCTGAGTCAGGCGCACTTTAGTCTTTATACTGGTATCATTGCTCGTCAGCATTTTGGAAAGGTCTGTGACCACAGACTTGCCCAATGCAATAGGTCTCCTGGAACCCTGACTGTTGGTACCAAGGGTGTTAATTGTTGATGTAAACAAGATGAAATCATTGACAGCTTCAATACTTTCTCTATTGTAATGCTGACTGTTGCTCTTGGAGTGAAATCCCCACCCTGAAATTGTTCTCTGTGTTCTAATTCTGTGTTTCTGTGACCTCAATCAGCAGTGATTCAAGCTTCTAGCTTTCTTGTTAATGCTAACATCTTTTCCTTTTTTATTTTTCTTTCTCCCTTTGGCATTCAGATCTGTGTGACTTCTGAAGAACAACAAGATGGCTTTATTAGAGTCCTCAGCGGGAAGAAGAGAGGCCTTGTCCCCCTCGATGTCCTTGAGAACATCTGATCGCCAGCCCCTTCTCCTTGTGCAGTAGGCAAAGCTCTGCTGGCGATGCTGTCTGCCCCATCTCACACTGTGTTAGACCCAGGGAGTTGTCGCACTGACCCGGCCACCCAGGAACCAGTGAGACAGGACTGGAGGAACTGAGACCGCGGGGCAACAGCAACAGAACAGAGGAACCACCAGGCAGCACCTCAAGGCTGAGGGGAGTCTGCCGGCAGAGTCTCCACACCCGGAGGCAGTCACTGGGCTGCGACCCACAGCTGTTCCTCCCCAGGACTCTCCTCCTTCCCTGTCCAAGTGGAGTAAGATAACCCACTGGAGTAGGTTCTGTGTGCAGTGTGACCCGGCTGGAGGTTCAGATACACGCAGCCACGTGTGATTCTGGTTCTTAAATCTTCATCCTCAGTACCAGCCACTTAGCATTATTACATTTCAGACCCATAGCAGTCTCTCTACAGAGCATTAGGAAGACCTACTTTCTAGCCCCCCAAATTCCAGGGCTCTCCAGATTCCCTAACTTTGTCACTGTGCTGAATGGCAGAAATGTCCTCTGTCTTCTCAGTCAGTCATGGTAGTATGCATTGGATGGCAGGACTAAGTCAACATGGCACCAAGTGACAAGACTCGATGTGCCCAGCGGTTGGTGTTGGTAACTCAAAATATCCACAGAGGTGATAGAGCAGAATCCAAGGCAACATGGAAGCAGCCCTCCATTCAGAAATATAAGAGGAGAGAAGAACAGGGGCAAATGAGGATAATGGTGTTAAAGAGCCCTTAGTTACTGAATTTTTTAAGGTCCTTTCCAGTATCTTCTTTTGGTCAATACATGAAGGCATTGGAGTTGCTGCCCAGGAGAGGCAGTTGAGGGAAGAGGGTAGCAGATGTCTCCCTGATGAGCTGTTTTCATTCTGCATCATCTGTATTTGGGGCATTTTTCCCTCATATCATCATGCAGGACTCCAGTTTAAAGGCTGAACCCACCTTTAAAGGAACCAGGAATGGGGGAAAAAAACCCAACAGCAGCATCTAGAAGAAATAGAGCCAAATTGGATTCTGTTCACCTTAAGGAAGAATACCGTACCCTGGGTAAAATGGAAAACAATCCTTAATGCTCCAAGCCAAGGCACACGGGGCCTATTTAGCATTTACTAGGAGAGTCCCTGTTACTCTGTGCTTGTTCTAATGTTTACAAGAATACAATATACTGTGATGCCTTCCTCCTTGAGCCTCCACCTAGCATCCTAACTTAGAACCTAGTAGTTATTCATTTGGTTAAATCTCAAATCAAATGAACTGTGATGCCTTCCTCCTAAACCCTCCTCCTAGCATTCTAACTTGCAATCTATTAGTTATTCATTTGGTTAAATCGCAACTCCCAGTGACCTTGGAAGCAATGTCAGTTTGGTTTATTGTGTTACAGAGCAATAAAATCATTAGCACCATTGGCTTAAAAACAAAAACAACAAAAAAACCAGCAACCTGAAAGGATGCATCCTGTGCTTGTAACCATTGTTTTCCAAACATCTTGGGTCTCCATTGACTTTTTAAATTTACTTTTGTTGATGCTCAGCATGAAGGTGGGAGCTAATGCTGGTGGCTGCTTGTTATGTCATGGTTTGAATGCCTTACTCTCCTTTTTAAAGCCAGCAAAGAGAATGTCCTCCTTTCTCTGTGATACAATATGCAAAATCCAGTGTGTGGAGTTAAGATGGGTTCTTTGTAAGCCAGGGTGGATGATATAACGGCCTTTCTGTAAAACTTGATGCTGGAATACAAACATTCCCTAACTCAAATTCAATATTCCATTTAATAAAGACAACACAGTGGCTGGAAGGAGCATAGAATAACACGGGTCGTGATCTCTTCTCTCTGGTGGGACATCCACTGAAAAGTTTGGGCACTGCTGTAGCATATCAGATGTGCCTTGCATTTGTACAAATTCAATTTCATGTGTTCAGCAAACCGAATTTTTCCTTTATGTATTCTCTTTTGAGAAAATATAATTAAAAACAAAATCTACTGCTAACCCAGAAAGCTGCTCCATAAAAATAACATAAAGAGGAAGAAAGTGATATTATCGAATAAGCGTTAAACTGGAATGTGATGTGCCTCTCCCAGGCAATCCACTAAAGGGATCACTAAGATGGAAAAATCTCACCTTTTATATAACAGCATGGATTCATGTTTTTAAGGGGGGGGGAGTCTAATTTTATAGCATTTTCTTATGGCAGGATATGTTGTATTTGTTGCTGCATTCCACTGAGTCAGCTCATTCCCGTGACAGACCTGCAGCCACCTTATGTATAATAGAATAAAACCCTCCCTGGTCCTACGCCATCTGTGCAATCTTTGCTGTGCTTAAGGCCACTATGTCAATCCATCTCCTCAAGAGTCTTCCTCTCCTTCACTGACCCTCTATTTTTGTTACTGAACACAAGGGGTTTCTTTCTGAAGTCAGCTGCCAATAAGACAGATTGCAGTAACCAAAGCACTTTATTGCAGATCTGGGAGAGCAGAGAGAATCTCCTCAAAAACTGCCTCCCCGTCTAAGAGTGGACATTAGCTTTTATACTCAGGTTAGATGTTTCAAAAAGAATAAACAGTTTGTGAGACAGTTAACATATGACTAAGAAAATAACTGTTTTAGAGAGGTAAATGCTAATCCCAGAAAACTGCCTTTCTTTTCCTGGTAAACAGGCAGTTTATGACTGAGAAAAAGAGTTTCAAAGAGGTAAATACTAATCTAGGAAAGATGCATATCCTCTCCTGGTAAAGCATATGACTAAAGAAAGGGGGAAGAGAGAATTCTAGGGCCAAGTAACCAGCTTTTCAGACTGGAGGCAACTGATGTCAGTTCTATAACTAGACTAGTTGATACGTCGGATAGTCTTGAATTTATTTATACCACCCCATCATCTCCTTCCTTTTCTTATTTATCTATCAGTCTTATATCTATAAGCTCTGTTATAAATCAGATGTTGTTCCGATTTAGAGCTAACATGCTAGGTTGATTCTTGGGGCAGTAGGGCTTCTTTACAAAGAGATTATCTCTTTTTACTTGTTCCCCACTTGGAAATAGGAGCGTAGACTCTCTGGCTGCTTCATGCTGAACAGGAGTGTTGAGATGAAGGGGGAAGGAACCCACTTTTAACACTTGACTGGCAGTCTCGAATAGAAATTACATGTCGTCTTGTTCAGTTAGAAGATATTTGGTGTCTAACAAACAGGGAATGGAGACACAAATTAGAAAACATCACGAAGCAAAGAAGGGGTGTTACAGACTGCTAGGTTTTTCTATTTGCCTTTTTTCCCTTCACATGACTTAACAAACCAGTAATAATTTAGTTATATTCTAATACACAGGAGCAGAATTAACTTGTTACTATAACTTGACTAGGTGGCAGTTAAAATTCTATTACTTTTGTTAGCTGTTAAACTTTGCTGTTTTGGTTAAAAGCTCAAGTCCTATTTTTATTTTCTCACTTCTTAAGAGATAAGGATTAAAACAGTTACAAGTAACTATACTAATACACTGTATTTAATTTACCTATTTTAAAGGTTATATAAAAAATGTTTCATTTCTTTTAACTTTTTTATTTTTTCTTTTTTTAACTTTTAACTGATATTTTCTTCTTTGTACATTCTTCACAGAATGGTATAGCCTAGACTATACTACTCTTCTTTTTCTTTCAAAGAACTCTTATCACTCTTACAGTCCTTTTGTGTGGTGACAGAGAACTGTACATATTTTTATGCCTTTTATTATTGTATACTTCATTCAGCTCATAATTTTATATAAAACAAATGAAATGAAGGGAGAGGGAACCTTTTTTGACTTGCGTGAGTGATTCCAGGGGGAGTGGCTGGCTGAACTTTGAGGATCCATCTGCCTTTGCCTCCTTAGCTGGCAGTTAGATCTCCCTTTTGTTTCTGGAACAGGGATCAGGGTTCAGGTTTTGGAACAAGACTCGATGTTCAGGTTACCTATAGGGAAAGGAGCAAACCTAGAGAACAAACTTGTGAGTTACAAAGAAAAGGGCTTTTGGAGGTGTTACTTGCTGGTGTACTGGGGGTGGAGATGGAGGAAAGTGGCTTAGATCAAGTCTCTCATACATAATTTTATGGACTTAATTTAAGCCTACTTCTGGTGCTACTTTAATTCAGAACAAGGCCAAAGCAACACTTCATTTTACCAGAGCCATGTTTCCTGATGGAGCTCAGCCCTTCAGTTCTTCTTGTTTCTTTTTAAATCTTTATTTCCGTTGTCACTCTGAATGCTTTCAGAAACTCAGAACCAATCTTTTACCTCTTAAGGCTAATTTTTGTAGTTTTCCAGGACTTGAATTAAATCTTGTCAGGCATGTACTGTGAAAGACTCCCACCTGGATATTTTGGGCTTTAAGAAGAAAGTTATTTGAGTAGGCAGGTTTGTTTTAAAAACAGACACTATGTTAACAGGGCAGACATGCATAGGAAATAATTCTTCTTCTCCTTTTCTTCATTGAAGAACTCTGGGGGAAGAGTTTGAAGAAGAACTGATATTCAGATTTTTCTGAGACCAAATCATTGTTGCCTGGGGTCCTTGGTGTGTGTTTGAGGGAGCCAGTGGAGATAACAGAAGTCACTGCCAAACCAAACTGAACCTCCTCTCAATTGGGCCTTTTTAGTCTTCTACAGATGGACCAGGAAATTCAGTCATCCTTCCAACTGGAAGGCAATTCTTCTAAATAGAGCCCTCCACAGGACTTGCATAGGCCTTCTTCTAGTGTCTTTGTTTTTTTGAATATAATATGCCCCCTTGTCTTTGTCTGGTCTGCTTTTTTCCATTTTGGAGGGTCTTCTCAGGGTCCCATAGTCGTACCTTTGATGGTTTTTTAGAAAGACAGCATGAGCTGGAGGTGCCAGGCATCCTTTGTTGCTGAATACTTGGATGCGACGTTGATCAGCTGATTTTGTGCCAATGGCCCAGTCAATCTTTTGTCGTTTCCTTCTAATGTCAAGGA